AGGCATTGGTTGCCTTCCCCATTTTTTTCATTTCTTTTGTAACATTTCCTCCATATCTCATGTAAATCTACTGATTCAGTACTTCTTTCACCGTCAAGTTCAGTAGCAGATTCTGATTAAGTATTTTCATTTTCTGTTCAAGACCCCTAAATGGTGACTGGGGAATAGACATATGGTCATTTGGTCGGTCTTCTTCCGACCGGCAGTAAAACACTGCCAAAATGGGGCGTCCGTTTGGCTGTGCGAGATGGATCAAGTTTGCAGCCACGTCCGGTCAGAATGGGACGTTAAATCCGATGCCTCGTGTAAAGAGAGTTAACGTTCTTTGTACGTTAAAATTCCTTGCAACAAGTATTTGAGGTAGGTAGCCTGTTGCAAGGCAACAATTCTGTCCCTATCCATTATTCAATAATTTACCAGTGGCTGTTAAAATGTCCCCGACCATCATCCCAGATGTCCTCTATTATAAGACCTACCTATTGTATTTATTGATGACTGGACCTTTACATCCCCAATGACTTTGGTTTTGTATTTGTTTCTTTCTATTCCTCTTCCATATTTCAACATATACCGTTCAAAATTACGATTTTAAAGCAAGTCACTTATATCACGTTTGTAAGATGTATCTTCAACATTACGAAGCCCACAGTTAGTCTCCTGACAATCTTCAATGAATCCATCTCACTCGTGACATCTACTTGTGGCCACCTTCAAAATTTTTCTTGGTGACAATCTGCAATGCATATATATCACTAGTGACACCTACTTGTGACTACACTTTTACATTCGTCTTGTTGACAATATGCAATGCATATATATCACTACTGACAACTACTTGGGGTTACACTTTAATATTCTTCTTTGTGACAATCTGCAATGGAACTATCTCACTAGTGTCTTCTACTTGTGGCTACACTTTAACATTCATCTTGGTAGTATCAATCAATAATTTGATTTTTAATTAGTTTGTCTTAATTATCCGTAAACCATGGCCAGGAACTTCATTAATAAATATAGGCTTAAGTAACAAGATTCAATTTAAATCTCGAAATTTCATGTAAAGAGGGGTTAAACTGTACGTTGGCCTTATTGCTGAGGATTCATTTATTTTCGTGGGTATCAGTTTTCGTGGATTGACGGAAAATTGCATTTTCGTCGATATTTGATTTCGTGGTTTTGCCAATCTCTGCATATAAACCATATAGAAAATTTATAAATAGTTGAACATTTAAATTCATGGTTAACCTGTACATACGAATTCCACGAAAATTGGTATCCAACGAATATTATTGACTCAACAGTAGTGTTGATTTTTATTACAGTAGCAGCTTCCATTGTGTATCATTTGCTCCCCAAGAGTGACTGGGGAATAGAAGTATGGTCACTATTGGTCTTCCTCCGACTGGCAGTAAAACCCTAGCCAAAGTAGGGCGTCCGTTTGGCTGTGCGGGATGTATAAACTTGCAGCCATATCTGGTCAGAATGGGAACGTTAAATCCGATGTCTCATGTAAAGAGAGTGCCACGCTTATTGCACGTTAAGAACCCTTGCAACAATTCTTCGAGGGGTCCGTAGGTGACCTGTTGCAAGGCTACATTTCTGCCCCTATCCGATATACCCTCATTTCCCGTGGCAGTCCAAATTTTTCCGACCTTAATCCCGGACGCCTCTATTACAGAACCTACCTATTGTATTTATTGTTAATTTGTTCTCGTCCTGAATATGCATGAAATATTTACCACTGGACGTTAAGCAACCAACAATAAATCAAATGTGTATCATTTGTAAGATGCATCATTGTTTCAGATTAAGTGTCAAGAAAATTAATTCGGAAAGGTCGATACAGACTCAAGTTATATGTTCCCATGGTCCCAGGTTAGGAGAGCGAAGGTAACTTTAATCATCTATAACATTCAAAACAGAATGCAGAGTCGTCAAGATTTCAACAATTCATCCGTACTATTATCTTGATCATCAAGAAATATCATAATTAGTTTTTTGAGTTTTGGAGTCCTGCAATAGCTGTAAATTGAAAGAGCCAAATGAGGCAATTTACAATGCTTCAGTTTCGACTATCACACTTGTTTGTGAAAGACACAAATATTCAATGTTGTCTGCTCTATGGTCGGGTTGTTGTCTCTTTGACACATTCCCCATTTCCATTCTCAATTTTAATACTTAACAAAGTGTCCGGTTTTGAAACTTTAGATGTGTTGCATAGTGTTCTTTCCATCCATGTTTCTGACAATACTCTTAAAAGTTTAATTTTGTATTTTTACCACTGTATGCCTTTCAGAAGCCACATATTTTTATGCACAGTGACATTTATAATGTGTCGACGGGGAATTTGTGCCTCATCTAAAATATGTGGTCTTACAAGAATGGTTGGTATACTCTCTTGATAGATTGACTGCCTTACTTATTTCATGCATGTAGTTGCCCAGCTTGTTATGTCCAAGCGGAGTGTTGTCATAGATTCCCTCTTGAGCTGCTGATTTTGGCCGTTCAAAAAGTGTATCACACTTTGGATTGAGATGGCGGATATATTTAACAAACGATCGAAGTGGACATCAGTGACTACATAAAAAAGACAAAATACATTTAAATAAAAATACAGTCAACATTGCGAAACAAATATGTGTTATTTGACATGTTTATCTACAAGTGTGCTAAGTGCATCAACATCTTCATCAGCCATGTGAGCATCGTATCAAATTTTTCTGTCGGTGAATGTGAGTTCCGATCAGGATGGGACATTTTAAATAAAAACAATGTGTTAATAAAACCTATCACTGTAGTCTTAAATTTGTAAAGCAAATTACATTTCTGTATTGAGGTGTACAATAGATTTGAACACTATGGCCTATCTAAACCTTTTCTTAGTTTTTTTTAAGAAAGAGAACCAGCGAGGCATTTTTTGATATGAACAACTGGTAACACAATTCCGTTCGATAATAAATCCGTTTTCAATTCTCATTCCTGTAATTTCTACCGCCCTGAGTCTTACTTGGTGCTGGGGTAGAACAAATCTGGAAAAGGATTGTCCTGCACTTTTCACTGCTAACTGGGATGATATACCTACAAAAGAAATATTAATACGTGTTCCTGTTTCTAAATGAATAGATCAATATTACATGTCGCAGTGGTTGTAAAATGTTTTGTATCGAGCCAAACTACATTCATTGTAGTTCAAGGAAATTGTAGTCCATTGACAAGGGTTTCAAAATAACAAATATGGTAGATTTTGTTTCTTGCAAAATGTTCATAAAATGTCTGACCGTAAACTATATAACAAATATCAAGTCAATATCTTCAAGCATGACGAAGAAAGTGAATTTTCTAAGTCCAGGGACCATAACAAAATCATCAGACCAGAACAAAAAATGTAACTTGATCTGTAACTTGTCAAAATAAAGCTATATACCAATTAGCCAATCAATTTCTTCAAGCAAGACGAAAAAAGTGCGGAAAACTGACTATTTCAGTGAATTTTCAAATTCCAAGGACCTATCTCTGCACCTAAATCACAAGACCGGATCAAAATTCCAACTTTAATCGTTACTCGTCATGATAAAACTATATACAATTATCAAATCAATATCGGCAAGCATGACGAAAAATGTGCGAACAACTGCCGGACTGACGGATGGACAGACAGACAGACGGACGGAGTGCAAACCTAAAGTCATCTTCGAATTTACTTCGTCGGTAGGGGACTAATACAATTATAATAAATATAACTTTGTGAGATGATGGATTGTGCACCCATCAATGGTCTTCCCCTTGTGAATAATGGGTTATATTACATAACTTTTTCAGTATTGATGCGGCAACATGCGATTATGTATCTCCTATTCTTCATATTCTTTAATTAACATTAACATCCAGGTCATCCTCGCTTTCAGAATCTGCTATTTTTTCATCAGTTGCACCACTGTGTCCTGAGCCTGTGGGATTTCGTTACAAGAGGTCATTAATCATCTGCCTCATGCCTGGATGCGATGAACAATTCCTTGGAAGATCTACTCGCTTTGATGGTGACAACATTTCAGAGGTGCACATCTCAAGTATTGAAAGTGAATATCAGTCTCAAGAGCCTACACCAAACAGTGCTAGCCTTTTAAGGGCAATGGACACCGAATGTAGATAGTGCATTCTGAAAGACGCTCAATATGCTAGTCTCAAAGATTTTGATGATGTCTTACCTATAGTAAAAGGAAGACATTTTCTTCCAATTTCAGTATCTAATTTTTTCCTATATACTAGGATTTAAAAGCATTTATGCAACTGTGCATTTTGACATATTTGTTTTTATTTTGGCAAAGATTTTTTACTTGGGATTATTTCGGATTTTTTTTTAACACAGTTTTGTATCCTACAACACTTCAGGTTTATTCAACAACACTTGAGAATGTTGAGGCTTATCTCATATTGAATAAAAAAATGCCTTTGTATGGCTTTCAAAATTGCACTGCACAACACTAATTTGTCAATAAAGAATCATTTTTTGGTTTTCTGCAGTGCCATTGTGACCTCATTAAAAGACAACTTTGATGATGTTAAATTATCATGATTTTCCATTAATTTGTTTTTCTTATATCATAAAAAGAAAGATTTACCAACTTAAGTTTGCAAATTGTTATCTTAATAGTCAATAGTGCTAATAATTCAGACAAAACACCCAGCAATATGCAATTGTCACTCATTTTAAAATCTATTCAACATCTTATATATATAATTATAATTAACAAACAAACAAAAAATAGTCACTGTTCCACATGTAGTTATCCAACTGACCTTATTTCCCCCCATTATTTAGGAATTGTATTTCAATCGTTTATATAATATATTTTTATATTAATAGATGGAAAACTTAGGTTCTCATGTATTTTATATCTTGTGTATGTAACAACGTTTTAGATTTTAGCGAGAGAAATTTGTGTTTTACTGAAAAATTATTACACCAGTGTTCTGCCTTGGGCGCAGAGAGTTAAACCATATATATGTAGATCATTTTATTCAATTAAACATTCAATGCGTCAGGAGCTGACAGATCATGAAGCCACATACATTTGGTGAAAAGCTACAATATAAAAAATAAAAACTAATAACTAACATTGTTAACTACCAACTGTAGTAATAAAATACAAAAAATCTATGATTGAAAACACTCAAATCAATGAAAAACACAATTGACAAAAAAGGGGGAGAATGTACTGAACTGACTTGACTAGAGTTGTACAAAAATTGCTGTCTTCATAAAAATTACATATGACTTAGAAATATACCAAATAATACTGTTTTCGCATACAAATAAAATATTACAAAGTTCACACATGATTATTTACACAAATGCCATCGTTCGTAGAATGTAAGCTGTTTGGATATATGCTTTCTCATGACTTATACCGCAAATAACATAATAATAGCTTTAACTAGAATATATAGTACATAATGGCATTATTACTTACATCGTAATTCACCAAGGGACAAGGAGAATGATAATGTTCTTCGTAATTATGTTCAAAAATTTATCAAGCCATGCTGCAGGAAATGTAAAAACAATGTGTAAAACAAAAACAAGTCGGATTAACCACAATTATCAAAAATGCAGGTTGCGTATAAAGAGGGATAACTCTAATGATATTCTTGGCATTACACTCCCCGTCTGATATGAATATATCACTAATAAAAAATTTAACAATACTTCAAAAATCAAAAAAGTTTGTCCAAGTACACAATCAAAAATGTTCTCATTCTATATAGTTCACAAGTTATTTACACATAACAAATACTACTTCATTAGCAGGTCTAGTGAATAACTTCCTGTTCTTCCCGAGACGCACTTGAACTTCACGGACGCGACCATCAGAGCTTGCATATGTTTGTTCAATAACACCAATAGGCCAGTCATTACGGTGCAAGCTAACATCACGCATAAGAACAATGTCACCTTCAGTCAAGTTTCTGCACTCTTGTTTCCATTTGTGTCGCATTTGTAAAGTAGGCAAATATTGAGTTCTCCAACGTTTCCAGAATGAGTTTGCAAGTTGTTGAACGCATCTCCATTGAGATTTTAACAAATCTTTATCGCAAAAGTCCTCTATTGAAAAAGATCGCACAGTATGTTCACTTTTCAAAGTGAGCAAAGTTGAAGGAGTAAGCAGGAATGAATTGTCAGGATCCATATCTATCGGTACCAGGGGTCTTGCGTTCATAATAGATGTTACTTCGGCCATAAACGTTGTTAATACTTCATGTGTTAATTGTTTCGTTTCCATAAAGAGGCTGTTAAGAATATTTCTCGCTATCCCAATCATACGCTCCCAGCTGCCACCCATGTGTGAAGAGTGAGGTGCGTTGAAAATCCAATTTATGTTCTTGTCACTGAGATAGTTTTTTATTGGTCGATCTCCAATATTTATAACGTTGACATCAAGTTCACTCAGTGCCCCAACAAAGTTTGTCCCACAATCAGATCTTAAGATTTTTACTTCGCCTCTTAAAGCACAAAACCTACGTAATGCATTGATGAAACAACCAGACGACATTTCCTCAATCACTTCAATGTGTACAGCCCTAACCACAAGACATGTGAACATTACAGCCCAACGTTTACCTTGTGCCTGACCTCCACGAGTTCTTCGGGTAGTAATAGTCCAAGGACCAAATACGTCAATTCCAACATATGAAAATGGAGGTGCTGGATCTAATCGGTCAAATGGCAAGTCAGCCATTTTTGGAAATTCTTCTTTTCCACGTAGTTTACGACATTTTATGCATTTATGAATCACAGATGAAATGAGACCTTTTCCTCCTATCAACCAATATCCTGCCGATCGCAAAGCTCCTTCAGTGAGATGGCGTCCTTGATGCGCTACTTTTTCATGATAATGTCTCACAAGTAATGTTGCAATATGATGCTTAGGTATGATGAGTGGCTTCATTTCATTGGGAAATATGTTTGCATTGCTCAAACGACCACCAACACGGAGTAAACCTTTATTGTCAATAAACGGGTCTAATTGCAAAATTTTACTGTTTGCAGGAAGTTTCTGTTTGTTCATCAGTGCCTTATATTCAATGCTGAAAGCTTCTCTCTGAACAATACCTATAACTAAATTCTGTGCATCTAGAAACGAATCAGTTTTACTAGACTCTTGTCTATTAGTTTGCTTTACAATAAAACATCTGAGAGTTTGTATAGCTGAAAAAAGAGTTTTCCACTGAGAAAAACGTTCAAATCTTTGAGAGCCAATTGCAGGTTTAGTTACAAGTGTTTTTGCCACGCGGACCTCTCTATCTTCTTCTGGTAAAATAAGAGGGAACTCGTCTTCTTCAATTTTGCTATTTATGGTGTTTTTCTTACAAAGAAACTGAGTAGGACCTACAAGCCACTGACTTTGATTAAGCTTTTCTGGTCGTATAGAACGAGAAGCATCATCGGCTGGATTTTGTAAGGTAGGTACGTATGACCATTGTTCTGGTTTTGTCGATCTCCTGATTCTGTCCACACGATTTCCAACATACAGATAAAATCGCTTTGTTTCGTTGTTTATGTATCCTAATACAACCTTGCTGTCGGTGAAAAATTGCACTTGTTGAAATTCTGTTTTCAGTTCTTCGCAAATAGTTTCATACAGTTCGACTGCCAGAACTGCAGCGCACAATTCCAAACGAGGTATGGTATGGCCGTGCTTTGGAGCCACTTTACGCGGGATGGTTAAGGCCATTCAGTACTGTTTTTAGCTATTTGGGCATAATAAACAATAAGACCACCAAAGCGGTACATAATTGCTGTATGAACGGGAAACGTCTAATCAGTGGTATTCTATGATAAAACAATAAATTATGTTTCATTTTGTTATGATTTACCCTGGGAAAAAAGTCACGTGACGATCACCTGACTACTGTAGTATTTATATATAAAATTATAGTTTTCCGTAAAGTTCTAGTGCGTTCACTTATCGTAAATATTTCCTTTCGGTCTCATTTTAACGGTAAAAGTACGTGGAATAAGAAAAATGCTATACACTGGTGAATACTTGTAAGAGATAATAAAAAATTAAAATAAACAAGCGAAAAATCGTCACGATCAACCTTTTTAAGTAAACAACGCTATCTATTTAATTCACCAATATTGCCACGCCAATTGTATATCAGTTTTCATAATCCTGAGAATGTTCCGATTTGAAAACGCTAATCATATTAGAAAAATACAGATGATTAATTCTAGAACTTTCGCTCTGAAGTTGACCAATGTCAAACTTTTTAATGTACGTCATTACTTTCAAACGTTCAAGTGACGTCAAAGGGACACAACTCTGTAAATTATTCTGGCGGTCTTTTCAACATGAAAATAAATCGACGAGAGGACAATATACCTATATTTTAATAAAATAAGCGTCAATCTCTGTACATATATTAAGTAATACGTTTTTCAATAACTTCTAAAGCTATTTCATACAGAAATTATTGAAATAAAACTCCAGCTTTTGTATAAATGTCGTTTGTTTAGGAGGATTTTTTTTTCTTAAATTGATTTTTTGTGTGAAAAAAAAACTTACCTTTAAATGCATGATGTTGCTGATATATATTACAGCTGCAGAATAACATTTCAGTAAATATTATGTTTTTTTTTCAGTTGCAGATAGTGAGTTATAAAGCCTTCCAGATGACCATATCAGGGATCAAAGTTCCATCACAAGCGACCCAATTTTTTAGCCTTTTTTTTCAAATAAAGAACTAAGTTGTGCTCTAATATTTTATTTTAACCTCCTAAAATGAAATGTTTACTTCATCAACATACACAGAAACATTTAAAACATGCCGGATAGAAAATGGGGGGGGGGGGGGGGGGGGGGGGGTACTGGTGTCTATAGTATGACCAGGTCTTAACATTAACCCATCACATATTTTATGTGTATTTGAAAAAAAAATACAAAAAAAACACATTTATGCATCCTCCCCTGAGAATAAGTAGTTTTAATCAATTGATAATCAAACTTTTTATGTGGAGCATCCAGACTCTAGTCTCATATATTTCTTTCCATTTTTTTTTCTGCTTTATTTTGTTTTTTAATCATTGTTGTAATTTTCTGGTTGCATGTCTATCTTTTTTCTCAAAAGTGATATCATAAAAAATCTTCAGAAAATTTTCTGTATTCAGCAGAGAATAGCAGCAGCAGCAAACCAAACATGGAAGTCATCTGAGTCATAACACAAACATTTTTCATCTTGAATTTTATTTTGCATCTCAAAATCTGACATATATATTATGAACAATAATACAAACAAGAATATGCAATGATATAACTTGCAAAAAAAAATCAAATACAATGAACTATTGCAATTTTGCCAAAGTAATTATTGCAAGGTCAACAAAGGACAAGACTGCAATTGACTGTTATAACCAGTCAGAACAACAAATTCCAGAGCCTGATAAAATTCTTAAGCCCCAGTATAATAATCATTTGTCGATTCAACAGCGTTATGAAAATTACAGCATTTTCATGGGAAAATATCCAAAAATGCTCATCAGCAGCTACAATTATTTTCGTCTAAAACTGCCAAAGCTACAAGATTATATATACCAGAATAAATACTATGTCAACAAAAACAAAACTGGAGAAAAGGAAAAATTTGTATCCCAGTTTAGTTTGGTCAACTGGATGCAAATGAAAGAAATTGAAAAACATCAGCATACGCTTGAAGAATGCCCAATCTGCACCACTAAATACAATGTGTTTTCGTCATTACACACATGTAGCAAAGTTGAAAATAAGGCAGAAAATCTTAAGTCTACTTGTACAAATCTGGTGGACACAATTCAGGAAGAGTTTTCTGCCTCTCCATCAATTAATAAGGTGTGGTAAAATAAAAATTCTTAAAATTAAAAATAATTGGTGTATAAACTGGATCAATTCACTGACAAAGTGGCCCAGTATCACGCTAAGCTACAGGCCCAGCAGCTCAGGCTTGTAAAACTGCTTTCGGGCTTGTAAAAATCGTGTCTGCAGGCCAACAGAATCTAACAAAAAATTCCTAAATTTGAGATCAGGGCCTGCAGGTTTTAAAGTTCATCGTGAAAACCGCAAACCAATAAATTGATGAAGGAATTTAATAAAATTTATGTGCAATGTGATCTATAGTTTATACACAGATAAATTCCTTTACAGAAAGCGATTATCCTTACTTCTATAAAACAAATAACTTAAAGAACCACTAACGCAAGCCTTCTCAACAAGAATCATACTAATATATTTCCTTATACGCAAATTTATATAAGATTTATAGATTGTAATCATTGATCATATCAGACTATCTGTTTCAAAATTAAATTCGGTTTAAAAAGTGGGATGTATGCATGACAAGGTAAATTGCCTTCCATGTTTTAACTGCCTATAAGGGTCAGGCAAAATGGTAAAAAAATAAAACTAGGTTATAAAAAAAAACACCAAGCTAATCATTCTACTTTGAAGTTCATTCATTATGAGTTAGAAAAAGTGAATCAGTTGTTTGTGTTTCTGGTAATGGAAATAACTAAGTTGGAGAATTGGTTAGAATGATAGCAAATTAGAGTGATCTCCCCTTAAATGTTTATTTTTAGTGCATTTCAACCAAATTGTATCTTCTATTATCAGAACAGTAAAAGGAAAAGAAAACTATTTTTTTGTAATTCTACTTAATAAGTTATGAATAAAAATCAATGTAAACTATGGTGGGTTTTTTTGTCATGTTTTCACCTGGTACTGGCACCTAAATGATTATTTTTATAAACAAGCCTTTTCAACATTAACATTTAAACTTTCACTACTATTCAAAAATTAAGTTGGTATGACTGGTCTTTGACACAAAAATCAATTAATACAATGACAAATTTATTCAGGTCGGGAGTTCAGCCAACTGGAATGAGGACCAATTTCCTAATAATCAAAATTATAATAAAATTTGTCAAAATTAACTGTCTAAATCTCTAGCCCTTCAGCTTTACTGGTGAAGTGAATTTTAACTTTATATCTATTTCAGTATTTGTAAATTAAATTTATATTAAAGATAAGATGTCTGGCTCACTATTCAAAATGATTTATTAATTCATTTGTCAATGCTGTACAGTTGTCTGAATAGTCTCCCTTTAACACTAATTCATAAAACAATTACTGTTAATACATTGAAATATTCAAAAATACAAAAAGATCTGACATCATAATAATACACAATATTTGGTATAAAACATTAATTAAAAAAAAGTTTGAAATTGTAAATGATATAATATGCAAATCACAAAATAAGAAGACTGGTTTCTTAAGCTTAATACTTTTGATTACAAATTCAACATATAAACAGTTCATTTATTCATACTTTATGGTATTTCAGTGTTCATGGGCAAATCAGAAGTAAATAAAAATTGCATTCAATACAAATTAGGAAAACTTGAAAGATCATAGTACAATTTTGAGTTTTACTTTTTAAATCTTAATTGTCTCTTAAATTTTTACTATTTAATGGTCCTCCTCCTTTATTATTTATTTTTCCACAAATATAAAAAAGAAGATGTGGTATGATTGCCAATGAGACAACTGTCCACAAGAGACCAAAATGACACAGACATTAAGCAATTATATGATACAAATTTTCTTTCATCAAGCAAAATTTATTCAATTAAATTCAATTATGTAATGAATTAATCAAAATTTTCCTAAATTTATTTTTAAAATTGAACTATTCTAATTTTGATCCAAAATATCTTTATTATGACTCCTTTGATTTTCATTTCCAAATCATTATACTAACCATTAGGATATACTTGGGTGAATTTTTTTTTTTAATTAAAACGTACAAACTAAAATTTATACAAATAAACTGTTATCACAGAGATATGTCTCGCCTTTTTGTAATTTTGATAATGCAAATGTTGAAATCAAAATAGCAATACTTAAACATTTAAGTTATGCAAATATTCAAAGTCGATGAACCATGACTGAAGGTACATGGCTAAACAATCTCCATGGAATGAGATGTGCCAATGCTAATACAACTGCATACCAAATACCATTGACTTTTATAAGTCATTACCTTTAAACAAACCTAAACACAAACATTAACTTGTAAACTGTGTAAAAGTTTCAAAGTCAATGAACCATGATCAGGGGTGGGGCTATATAATCTCCATGGAAAAGATACTTGCAAATGCCAATACATGTGCATACCAAATATCATTGACTGAACATTAGCAGTTCATCTTAAACTGACCTAATCACAAACTAATACATGTAAACTAAGCAAAAGTTTCAAAGTCAATAGACCATGACTGAGGGGGCGGGGCCAAATATTCTCCATGGAAATGAGATGTGCTAATGTTTATACAACTGAACACCAATTAACATTGGCCTACCACTAATGGTTCCCCTTGAACTGACCTAATCACAAACTAATACATGTTAACTTAGCAAAATTTTCAAAATCTATAGACCATGACTAAGGGGGCAGAGCCAAATAATCTCCATGGTAATAAGATGTGCCAATGCTAATACAACTGCATACCAAATATCATTGACCTACCATTAGTGGTTCACCATGAACTAGACCTTATCACAAACTAATACATTGTTGACGCCGCCGCCGCCGGAAACAGCATACCTATGTCTCGCTTTTTGACTCCGTCAAGGCGAGACAAAAATAGGTACAGCATTAATTAAGGAA